TTCGCTATATGAATAATCTGCTTGTTTCTGCATCTCTCTGAGCGGTGCCGTTTTATCTACTGCATACTGAAGTGCGCATACATAAATGGTGTTTTCAGCATTTAAGATACATAAACATGAACATCAGCAGAGCTGCTCTAAGAGAAAACGTAAATAAGCATTTCCTAGTTTTATTTGAGAAAAATCATTGTCAAATACACTCTGAAACTCAAAGGTCCACTACAACCCGTCAAAATAAAAGTTTGGTTAAATGATTGAAATGATGACAGAAATATATTAGCATTGTACAACGCACTTCAAAGTTATAATAACAACAATAATAATATTCTTTATAATAAAATTATTTAAACATTGTTTTCAAGGAATATCATGTTTGTCCATGTTTTAACTTTGCCAAAAACAAAAGAGTTATACATTTTCATTAAAAAACATTAATTAAAATGTTAAAGTGTGATATAGATATACATAAGATGTAGAGCTTTATCTTTAATAGTTTTTTATTTATTTAATTTTTTTCAGAAGGGAGACTTCAATACTTTCATTAAAATAGTTTCAAGTTTGTTGTAATAAAGGATTTGTTCACTCAAATAACTTGTTCTTGTTCTTTTAAGAGTAGGGCTGGGCGATATGGCCAAAAAATTATCACGATAATGGTTACATATCAGGCGATATCGATAATTATCATGATAAATGTCAAATCTTTATTTCTTTTAAGTTTATCGAACTCTTCATACCGTTTTATCGCGATAATTATCGTTATCGAATTATCGCCCAGCCCTATTTAAGAGTCATTGTTACTGATAAGAATTATTGTTTAATATACACCGTGATAACCGTGAAATTTTCTGAGACGATTACCATACCGTGAAAATCTCATACCGTTACAACCCTATTTCCAACCCATAATTTTCCCCCCAAATTCCATAACTTACTTTCCTTCATGAAACACACAAAAAATATTTTGAACAACATTTAACTGCTCATTTCAATAAAACAAATGCATATGGTAATCAGGGCCTGTCAAGCTCTAAAAAAAGAAAAGAAAAAATGCCACAAAAGAGGTCTTAAAAGGGCTGGGCGATAAAACTGTACTGCAAACTGTGCTGAAGATATTTATTTTCTTAAGGAAAAATGACTGGGAAAGTGTAACGAATTCAAAAACGTGAAGTGTTTGTTATGTACTGATAATAAAGAGTAGTTTAAAACCACAATTAACAGTCTGCTTTCTACAACTTTCACTTAGGAGCAAAAATCTGCCTTTGTACTTAAAAGAAATAAAGATTTGAAATTTATCATGATTATCGATATCGACTGATATGAACATTTTTATTGTTATAATTATCGCCATATAGCCCAGCCCTACGCAGAATTGTGAATGAGATATGAGAATTATGGCCGAACAGACTTAAATTTTTGTCTGTTCCTCACACGAAACCATCATATGGCTTGAGAATGGGAAATACTGTAAGTCACATGGACTACATATATTTTGCCATTTTGTCTTTATTGGAGCTTGACAGTCCCTGTTCACTGAAAGTTTTTGTTGTATAGAAAAAAGCAGTGTGAACACTTTTCAAAATGTTCTCCTTTTGTGTTTCCCAGAAGAAAGAAACTGGGATTGGAACAACATGATGGTGAACAATTCCTTTAGCTCCATTTCATATATTCTAAAAAGGCACCAAAACCATGCAAGTTGGCAATCTCACCCTGACAGCAGTGTGAAGTGTGAAGTCTGAATGACGAAGACCACCCCATTTTAAAGGCAGATGCAAGAACTGAATCGTGGAACCAGACCAAACCTGCTCTTCTCCAAGGAAATAGCACTACGGTTTGAAATGTTTGGGTTTGACAAAGCCTACAAAGAAATTTCTTGAAGAATGCCAACCAGTCAGTATGAAAGCCCTAGCACATGTCATTCATTCTATTTGGACTGACTCAAAACACTCTTTTTCAGCTGGATAAGATGTACTCCCGGGAGCGACGGGCTGTTTAAAGAGCGGAATGGATGAAAGACTGAGTAGGGTATGCACCTTAAAAACTCAGAGTGAGTTTTTAAGGCTTTAAATCAAAGGCCTGTGTAGTGATAACCTTCAAATGCACCTGCGGCTCTTGAGAAACACTCATGTAAAGTGGCATGATGGAGCATTCCCATAGTGCAGCACAATAACTAATGAAATCAAATCAAACTGCAGAGAACGGGGGAGCCATGCTTCATCATAAACAAATGAAAAAACTCAACTACTAAGGCAGAGAGAAACTTTAACAGCTGCATGGATGATATACAACCACAGACCCATTAAATTCTAGACTGAGGATGTTCTGCGTTTGATTAATCTTTAATGGAGGCTGTAAAGCTTTATTTACAGAATGTCCCATGGGGCACATGCAAGCTCACAGATGCATCGAGTTTGTCTACTGTATGTTGCGCGCAAGGCTTTCGAAACTAGTCCTTCAGTTGTACAGTAACAGCAGAATTCTCAAAGTTATGATGCAGTAGTATAATGAACCATGTTTAAAAAAAATTGTTACACTATCAAATAATCAGTTGTCGATTCTTAAGGACTACTGATGATTCTTAATATTAATTTTGATATCGGAGCAAAAATGAATGCAGTACTGAACAGACTACCAGTTAAAAATGAATATGAATATAAAATAAAAATTAAACCAATAACATGTAGTCTTGAAATATTTCTCTGCTTGCTTCAAACATTCAATAATATAAATAAATTTAAATTAAAATCAATTGAACAACTGAAATAAATTTAAAAAAAATTATAAATAATATAACAATATCAGTCAATGAAATAACACACACACACACATATACAGTGGGTACGGAAAGTATTCAGACCCCCTTAAATTTTTCACTCTTTGTTATATTGCAGCCATTTGCTAAAATCATTTAAGTTATTTTTTTTTCCTCATTAATGTACACACAGCACCCCATATTGACAGAAAAACACAGAATTGTTGACATTTTTGCAGATTTATTAAAAAAGAAAAACTGAAATATCACATGGTCCTAAGTATTCAGACCCTTTGCTGTGACACTCAAATATTTAACTCAGGTGCTGTCCATTTCTTCCGATCATCCTTGAGATGGTTCTACACCCTCATTTGAGTCCAGCTGTGTTTGATTATATGCACTGTGAGCTGTAAGGTCTTATATAGACAGGTGTGTGGCTTTCCTAATCAAGTCCAATCAGTATAATCAAACACAGCTGGATTCAAATGAAGGTGTAGAACCATCTCAAGGATGATCAGAAGAAATGGACAGCACCTGAGTTAAATATATGAGTGTCACAGCAAAGGGTCTGAATACTTAGGACCATGTGATATTTCAGTTTTTCTTTTTTAATAAATCTGCAAAAATGTCAACAATTCTGTGTTTTTCTGTCAATATGGGGTGCTGTGTGTACATTAATGAGGAAAAAAAAAATAACTTAAATGATTTTAGCAAATGGCTAAAAACTTAACTTGAATGATTTTAGCAAATGGCTGCAATATTGTTAAGAGTGAAAATTTTAAGGGGGTCTGAATACTTTCCGTACCCACTGTATCTTCAACACAACAGAGATTTCTACAGAGATTTCTTGCCAGTTATATCATTGTATAATTATATAAAAAGTTTTAAAACAATATAGAATAGTTTAAAGAGCAGATCATATGGTATTTTAAAGTGTCTTAATATTTAGTTTGAGTCCCCTACAACAGGTTTAAATGCATCTAAGTTCAGAAAACATTGTAATTTTCTCAGAATATACATTTAATATTAGAATCATTTGCCAATGATTTCGAAATGATCCATTCCAAGCAAGTTCGGAGCAAACCCCTCCCTTCCATAAGCCTACTCTGCTCTGATTGGTCAGCTGGCCAAGCCTGTTGTGATTGGCAAAGAGAGGAGTCCTTGAGCAAGTTAGCGAGTGCTACCATTGACAAAGCACCTTTGCATAAAACAATAATATAGTGCTCCAATCCGTTCTTATAATAATGACATAAAATACAAAAACACTTATGCAAGCGAATCGTGCCCACAGCTAA